AAATGTTTAATTAACTTTTGAATTAGTTTAAGGTGTCATGTTGGAATTGAAGCTTTGACGACAATCGCAATTATAAGCCAAACACATTTAAATAATTTAAGAAAATGTAATGGTTTTGGATATTACTCGACTAATATTCGCCTTTGTGCGCCCGATTTAAAAATTGCGCTCAAAAAAGAGCGTCACAGGCCCTGCCCCCATGACGCTTGAGAGTGACGTCGTCGATTCAACAGTCTCTCCTCGGTGGCTGCTCGGTGGGTGCGCCGACGATACGTAGCGTCGTCGTGGGCAGGGCTTGATCAGCTTGATGCGCTCTTTTCGCGCGCCATTTTTAAATCGGGAGAAAAAACAAACAAAAAAAAAAAAAAAAACGAAAATTGAAACCATTATCTTTTCGCAAATTCTTTAGATTGAGCTGACCTCTTATAGTAATTGCCGTTAATACTGCAATTCCTACATGTCCCCAAAAACCAACAATTAAAAAGTTAATTAGTCAACTTACCGTGATGGTTACCCCGTCATCTAATGTTCACCGAGCCTGAAAAATTTATGGTAAACCCCCCCCCCCCCCCCCCAAAAAAAAAAAAAAAAAAAAAAAAAAAAAACTTGTTTAACTCTTGCTTTTTATAATAATAATAATAATAATAATAATAATAATAATGAAAAAAATGTTTAAAACGTGTAAAACGTTTAATGAAAAAAAAAAAAGCAAAAAGAACTGGTCGCACTTGCGCGTGACTTCTGTCACGGGACTTTCCCCTTACAAAGCCTTTCTAAATGTTCTGACGTCGCCCGACATCGTATAATCGAGCAGGGTCCGTAAGATTCGGACTCGTCTTTCAGAGTCGCCAGCCCAGGTCTCGGTGGCGTCCTCTTATGGTTCCTATCAATGACGTCACGACCGAGATTATTAGTAGCGAGCAGGGGCAAAACCAAAACCCCGTTTTTTTTTTGTTTTTTTTTTTTGTTTTTTGGGGGGGGGGGGGGGATTTGTAAGGATACTATTCTCCCATTCAATCTTGTGCACTGGGGGGGATTACGTGTTAACACATCCATCGAGCCAGCACATCCACCGAGCCATTACATCCATCGATGGATGTAATGGAACGGTGGACATACCAGCTCGTTGGATGTGTTGACATGTGTATGGATGTAGCTGCTCGATGTATGTAGTTGCTCAATGACGTAATTGCTCATCCTTCCTGTCACGACTCCTAGCGTGCCATTACATCCATCGTGCTAGCGCATCCATAGAATCCAAGATGGCCGCCATTGGGCTTCTTGATCGAGTTATTCACATTCTTATGTGGAGAGCAAATTCGCCTGCTTCTTTTTCAGGGATTGTGGTGACGTCAGAAGGCCGAGCTATTATACAGCATAAAATAAGCCTGCGTGATTGGTGGATGGAATGGCACGTTTTTGGACAAAGCTGCTCGATGAATCTGATGAGACGATGGATGTAACGGCACGATGGATGTAATGACACGCTTTTGGACGAGGTTGCTCAATGGATGTGATGGCGCGGTGGACGTAATGACTCGATGAATGTAACGGCATGATGGACGTAATGGCACCCTGGATGAACTGGCCAAAAGGGGATGCAAAGGCACGATGGATTTGCTGGCCCCAAGCCCACTGGGGGGTCCACCATGTCGAATTGCGCTCCGAGAAGGGGGGAGGGGGGGTCGACTTTGTTTGGGAAAGGGGGAGGGCAGCAATTTCCCATTGAAATTTTCAGAAAATCACTTTTTCTGAAAATTTCAATGAATAAGGTATAGGATCGAGCTGAAACTTTTTCATCTGGTTGTGACCTCTAGCGCTACCTTTGGGCGGAGAATGAGCGCTCGGCGATGCCTAGTTTATTTTTGCGGTAAAAAGAATGTGTAATTTTGTTTTTGCGACACCCTGTATATCTTTAAAAAAGAAAACGCATAAAAAGGTGCCCAATATTTTCACAAGTAACAAAAAACCCTTAATTAATGCTATAAAAACGTTTTCTCAAATAAATTTTACGTGAGAAACTTCGGCATAAGTGTGTTGGTGAAAAAACCATACCTTTCTGGTGCACAATCTCGTAAAGCCTTGTTATGTTATCAGAGTTTATCAAAATAACAGTGCGCATATGCTAAAGTCGAGCCCTTATCATGTTGCTTATTTCCGCTGTCAAACTGTATCTTTCGGTGCAGATATAATAGCGAATTTGTTTATTCTAGGTCTATTACATACAGGGATGGGCAAAATGCATGCAAATATGTATCGAAATACAAATACAAAATACTTCGTCAAAATGTATTTTCTAATTACATTTCCAAAAAAGCCTTTAAGTACAAGATACAAATACAAGCAAATGTATTTGGTCTCCTCCAAATACTTTTCCAAATACATTCCTCAAAATTTGCGTCAGTGACTTCAGGGCACCTGCAATGGGTTTCTGGGTATCTCATTTTAATTTTGCATCGCACACTCGAAAGTTAGTGTGCGAGGCTCTAGTAACGTAATAGAAATATAATCACAAAAAATGTAATCAGCTTGGACGTAATAGGTGAAAAAAGTACAGAGCTTCGAGCAGCTTGTTTTGTCGATTACATTTTGGTATAGACCAACAAAGACCCGAGACGACCAAGACGCGCAGCACTAGCTACAGAATTTTTTATTGCTGCAAACTCGCACCAGTTATGAAAATCGGGACGACCCGGCATTTAGAATGTTCCAGGCAAAAATATGGATGGAAATCAGGCTGGAAAGCATCTCAAGTCGTCACAGGCACTTATTTAGCCAGTCTGCCTGGGAACGTCAATTTCGTCACTATTCTTGCCCTGGACTAGCACCGTAATTACAAAGTCACTAAACGCTTGTGCTTGATTGAGAGACATTGCATTCGGTGCAGAACATAGTTTTCTTCCTGCTCTGAACAGGGACAATAAATTTGAGGGATGTGATTTCGCCCACAAAATTGTATTTAATTACAATTGTATTCGAAATACCCACGTTTTAGTATTTAAATACAGACGTCAAATACATTACACAATTTGTAATTAAATACAAATGCAAAATACACGAAGTATTTGAAATACTGCCCATCCCTGATTATATACATGAATCAGTCAGACACAGATATATAAAATATCAAGTAAATTAAAACTTTAAATACCCTTTCTGAAATGAAACTGCTTTGTACACTGTGTTCAATAGTGCATCATTTCGTTGTTGATGGTAACATGTTAACTATTTCTAACAACTAATGACCTCCCAGGAACGAAAATATACAAGCTTGTACTAACCTGATAGAGCTGGAAGTAATGATCACTTCTCATGTAGGACACTGCTCCACACAGAAATATGCAAAATGATCTACCTATAAAAGCTGTATCTTCTTTATGTCGTCAATATAATGCAAAACATTTTAACAGGAATAATCGCCAAAACAGAGCAAAACTACAAACACAAATTGTAAAAATATCAAAATTTGTCATTAAATTGATACCTGCCATTTTCTTGTTTGGTATTTTTCTCGTGTTTGTATGTCAATATCTCGGCGGCTGTACAATTCAGCTACATGACCTTTACATCACTGTTTTGATCTGTAAGTATGATATCATATAAAATTTTGAAGATTGTGATTCAGATATTTCATAAGATTTCACTTGCCTGCAAAGTTTGCAGACAAGCAATTGAACAGTTAAGTTTGACACTCTCTAGAGAAAAATAAAGAAATGCAGTGAACACTTCATAATTCTTTTGATTAGTTCACATTCACACAGATTGTTCCCAAATATCATTATACTCTGCATAAAATTGTGCACATGATTCATCATCAAAGGTGATCAGAAGTGTGTGTGAATGTGACTGTCCAAGTCTCGATGAGCTATCATTCTTTATGTTTCAAGAGGTCTTTCTGGGCAAAAATAATTGTCGATTCGTTTTTCCAAAATATTGCACAATGACATATTAAAACATAAAGTAAATTGAAAACATTCACTGGCCACCGTCTCTCGAATCATATCTGAAATCCCCCACTTAATTACTAAACTGACATAATAAAGTACTGAATGCCACATTTATGTTTTCCTCACAAAGTATTACAGCACTACCGTAAAATACCGGACAAGCGCCCAGTCAAAATTTAGAGATAATCGCGAAAAAATGGGGGATGGGCGCTCGTCCGGTTATCAATTTTACATATCAATCTACTGTGCATATTTTCTCAGATCTTAGAAATTTGGGAATGGGCGCTTAATGTGGGATGGGGGGATGCGCGGCATTCTACGGTAGGTAAAAACATGCAAAAAACCTAACAAAATTTAAAAGCAGAAACTAAACGAAACACCAAAAATTGGCAACAAAAGAAGTTTATTGACAACATTTGAAGCAGGCACATCCAACTTATCCCTTAGTGGGGAAAAAAAAATGTATTTCAACATTAAAATTAAAAGATATTGAAGAAAATTAAAAAAGAAAAGCAACTGAAACAAATAAGAGAAAGAGTAAATTTGAAATTTCTTTAGTGGTAGCTTTTTCTCTCAATCAAACCCATCAGTGTGCAGTAGAAAGTGCCCATTTAAGACACTAACCCATGCACTAATATTTGCTGCTAGCCAATATCCTGTAGAAGTAAAATGTGAAAAAGCATCAATGTCACGTCCCGGCCAACAGTGTCGTGCAGTGTACGCTAAAGATATACCTCTTCTAAAAATTTAATTTCTTCAAATTTGCAAAAGCTGGAGTATTTGTTCTGTCCAACACATCAATACTTTCACTAGCACTGAATCGGACAAGACCCAAGAAGCTAAGCAAAAACATGCTCAAACGTGAAGCCGACGCCCGTAAAACATTCGCACCAGAAAGAGCTGTCTCGTTCGTGAAGAAACTGAAGATTCAACATTTCAGTCGAATACATGACAAGGAAGGCGTAGACATCGCACGACCTCAGACTGGTAAAATGTCGCTGGCCAAGACAAACTCGGCCTGCGAAGCTGGGCCACGGATGGCTAGGCACCCACCTGCTGCCTCTGTTCGGGGGCCTGCCCTGCCCACGTCCCGGTTGCAGCGCTCGTAGTCGAGCATGAGGCGTGTCCGGCAGTGCAGCGTCTCCCTCACGGAGCCTAGGTAGCGGGAGTACAGCTCCAGGTGGGCCCCCAGGGTGCTCCGTTCCAAGAGGCACTGCCGCTCCCCGTGGTGCTGCGGCCGCAGAGCAGGAGGAAAGGTTTCGCGATGCCCGACGTGTCGGAATCGGAGTCGCCATGCTCTGTCTCACTAGTTGGTGCGTGGTACTCCGAAGCCACGAGCGGGAGAGGGAAGATAGCCGCTTTTGCATGAATCTCGAGTGATGGGACGACTGCCGAAGGGGCGTAAAGCAATGGGGGGGTATGCAAAAGAAATTTCAGGTAAGAAGGGAGTTCCTCCCTCCTATTTTCTCCAACTGCCCCCGTTGCACTCTCAACACCCCTGCGCCCCCCCGGACCTTTAGTGCGCCGCACACAACTTAGCAAGATAGGGTGTACATCCAGGATTCCATGTCAACCGCATGGAGTACAGGCTGGTTCACGCACTTGCAACCGCTTACGACCAAGTGCCTTGAAATCTCTTACAACGAGAAAATGCAGTGTTGCCGTCTATTAGCCGCGAAACGCTCAAGGGATTTCTGTACACTCTTGGCGTTTTTTTGCACATGCTTCTTTAATTAGCTCAAAAAACATTTCACGACGTTATAAATGACCGTTTCTCGTAGAGGGCACATATAACTGATCTCGCAAATACTGCCAAATGTTTGCTTTAGTGAAATGCAGTTCCAGGGTCACCTCGCAGATGGCGGCACCGTGCCAGTGCGTTTTCTAGTCATAAGAGATAGTGAGAACTTTGTCATGAGGAGAAGCAAGTGTGTGAACCAGCCTTAAAAACGTTTCCATGATCTTCAGTAACTGGTTGGGCGTTTCGGTTTTGAAGGTGAAAAAACTACCAGGGCTGTACAGTACCAAGAATGTCCACTATCGTTACAGGAAAGAAGTGTGGGGAGAGGAGCCGTACAGGAAAACGCTTCAAGTGTCGGGCATGTATGGCGTGTTTTTCCAATCAAGAGAAAACCTTATATCCGACACTTCTCAATCTCGAGAAACCCCTCCCGATCTTCCGTTGATGCAAAACAGAAGTTGAGGAATTTACGGAGCTTTCAAACAATACCGCACATGCCGAGGAGTGTTCCGGTTCACGGGTGAACGCATCAATGGGTGGCCTAGATCTGCAAAAACAATACTTAAACCGGAAAAAACAGTTCACTTAGGAACAGGAACGATCGAGAAAATTTGGGAGCTTGAGGAACCGACAAGTTCAGTCTCCCCTGGGATTCTAAGAACCCAGTTTGAGAACCTATACGCCTTAGCTTGTTGCAGGGATGAAAAAAGCCTCATAAGAGGCAAAGTTGAAGCATGTTTATAACACTGATACAGGCATCTGAGGTACTGCCGCAGAGTCCCGGAACAAGAATGCATATAACACTTTTATGTGTGTGCTGGAGTATAGCCTTTTAATCCGCCTAACCATATCACCTAAAATGGGAACAACGACAGTCGGACTGCGTCTGACTGCCACTGTGTCGCTTTGAAACATTCACACATTTGCACTAGCTGAGTTATGTTATAAAGAGATTCTGCAGGTGGCACGAGCGCTTGGTTCTTTTGTACTTTCGTATGCAGGAGTTTTGCCATCGATTTTAATTAGGCTTGTGCAAATAATGAATTTTGAATTCGAAGCGAAAACCCAGCTGAACTTGCGAAGGTTGTTGCCAAGTTTTCACCTGTCCATTTTAAAGCCTGTGGCCTCCAAAAGTGCAATGCCTACATTGGGATGGCAAGTAAACGACAAACTTGATATAAAATGAAACCTATGGGGAGTTTGTCTGCTTCTTGCACAGGGGTTGCGCTGACGTCAGAACGCTGAGCTCTGATTGGCTATGATGGAGGCACGGTGGGTAGACTTTAATGCTAGCTGCCTTAAAGGCGGACCAGCAGAAATATTCTTCCGCCTGGCGGAAAGTCCTCCTCGCCCTCTTTCTTTCTTGTATTGTAGCACGGCGAGGCGAGGGGAAAGGTCCCCTTTTGCGCCGGCTTCTTCTGAGAGGATAAGCCGAGAAAATCCCCATTTTGAGCGACGGGCGATGGGTGCGGCAGCAGCGACCTCGTGACTTAGAGGTAGCTTCAGATCCTATCGCGTAATCTGCCCCATTTTTTGGCGCTCACCAAGCCTAGCTTCTCGGGTGTAGGTTTTACAGAGCTGCAATCACCGAATTTCAGCTGTCGAAGGTCTTTGGTTTAGCCTGTGGCAAAATAAACACATACTTCAGAGCTGCGATGCATCCCCGCACCCATTGAAGGAACGTGTCATGGATATTTTTGGTTCATCAAGGAGCTCAAAAGACATGCGCGAGAAGTGGTGACTTGAATATGTAAGGATGACTTACATCTTCACAAAACATTCCATCTTTAAAAAAACGGCTTATCACGCTCAAACCTGCCTCAAATTGGGATCGATGGAAAAGAAAACGATGCACCAGGCGCGGGAATCTTCTAGAAGTACTCTGTTTTCTAGCAGCGAGCACAAATTATTGGAGAACTTTAGCAGACTATGTTTTCAGGCCACATATATTTAGCGGAAGCTCGCGCTGCCACTTCGATGCATTCTCTGAAGCACGCGCCTGAAGTGGCAGCGGGCCTTTGAAAACGATTTACTAAAATGCCCTGTTGTGTGCCTAACTCGCGGAACATGATGGCCAGCAAAATGTATGAAATTCATATTTACACATTCCCAACAACCACCTGAGGTGAGAGGGCATCAAGGGTGGATGTCAATTTTAGAAAGTTTTAGTGGGTCACTTTTAGCCACTTAGATAACCGTACGGTCCGTACCCCAGAACGAAATGTAAGCTAGATTCGCTCTTTACATTCTTTATCGAGTGTGGCTATGGAGCGGAAAAGACAATATTAAAACCCTTTTTGGCGAGTCCAACGTGTCGTGTTATGGTTCAACGTTGCTTGTATCGGTACCATAGCACGGGCCGCCACTTCGAAGTATTTGTGTGTCTCAAAGAAACTAAAGCAAAAGCAGACAATTTTTTTTAACGTGACACAGAATTGTATTTAGCATTGTAAAAAACTTTTAGGTACCCTACGCCACGCAGTTAGCACAAAGAAACAATCGCCGGTGTTTCCCACTTTTTTTTTCTTGTTAGAACTGAATGATGTTTAGGAAACTGTTAATGCGAGTATCCCAGCTAAGCGGTAGAGTTTAGTGCGAGTCGATACATTGCTGGGGAAAATAGCAAAAAGCGCCGATGTCGTGTTTGCGCTAACAGTGTCGCGTAATGTACGCATACCGCTGCACAATCAATGCTAACGGAGTGAATCAGTAAATTTAGTGGCCCCCAAAGAAGTGGTGTTATTTTGTTTTATTTTTATGGTTGAAAAGTTGTTATTTTTAAACAAGCAATTCGGTAAAAAGAGTGCTTTCGTTGGGCACCAACTTACGAGGCATCAATTTGTTCTACACTAAATTCTGCATGGCCCTTGCGTAAAAATGTCAATATTGTGTTCGTGCTAGCTGTGTCACGCACAGTTAGAAGACCAGCTCATTGCTCGAACATTTAAGGGGAGACACTGCCTAGAAAAAATAAAATTCTGCAAAAAAAGTTGATTTTGAAAAATAACATTTTTACATACACCAACATCTAGAGAGTATTCCAAAAACGTTTCATTAATTTTCACTGCATAGTTAATTTTTTATAAATTATTTTCTGTCCACCAAAGCTATAGAAAAGGTAGGGTTTGGAGCACTTTGAACACATTTTTCTCCGTTCCACTTTTTGGTATAAATTCCATTTTAGTCAATCTATCGTTTGATAATGGCAAAACAGGAAAAGCTCATTCTTCCCTTTTCCTGACTGAAATTTAATAAGGAGTGCGGCTATGAAACTTTTTTGTCACTTTACGGATGTCTTTTGTAAAAAATGTTGACATTTTGTCGAAGGCACAGAAGACCAAAAAGTTGACCAATTTTGCAGAAGAGAAAATTTATAGAAATGAATTACTTTTTAGAAAAAATGTTCCATAGCCGCACCCTCTAGGCATTCTGCTACATATCTAGCAAATAAAAATCTTTAATATCGCAATAGTTTTCTAACGATAGATTAACTAAGCAACGTAGGCATGTGGCTGATAGAAGCTACTCTTATTTCCTTCTCATTTAACCGACAGACCTGAAATTTTGTTATACACCCTCTAGCATGACCACCAGCCTACCCTGTGAATTTCATTAATTTTAAGACAAGGGTTCAAAAGTTGACCCCCCTAGGGGGTGTGCCCCCTTAAACAAGGCCTTTCTTACGTTTTCTTACGCCAAATAGACGTTTTGCGAGTACGCTCCATTACTGGTGGTTCATAAAATAACCTACGTTGTTTATTTAGAGGAAGGAAGTGGTGGTGAAGGGGGGGGGGGGGGGGGGGGGGGGGGGGCGGATTGAATACAAAAGACGACCCAGGGAACCTCGACCTTTGTAAATATTTCACTCAACCTATAATCCTGAGCTAATTAAATCACTTTTGCTTTGACTGTTTTAGAACTTGTTAACAGTCGCGCTAAAGGCCAAGATGAGCGAAAAGTCAGATGCCAATGTTTATTTGAGCAAGAAGCTTATATATGCGAGATAGAACTGAAAAAGCGTACGAGTGTAACCGTAGCTATCTCCGACCAAGCCTGAACCTCACTTTTTCGCCATTTTATAGAAAGTCGTTTTATCGAATGAACGGACATTTCATCGAACGCCGTTTCATCGAATTGCTAAGGGCCGTTTCATCGAATTTCTCTGTTATGGCTCTGTACCGAGTTTTGGGGCATAACGGTGCTTTATAGATGTTTCACCTTGCATTTGTTAAGACTGAGGTAGTCACTTGTGAAATTGTTTTGAAGGTGGTGTCAAATTACTAAAGATAAAAGCAATTGGCATAAAAAGAAATAAAAACAATTGGGTATGCGACTTACTGAAAATCTTTACTCATATACATATATGACTGAAACCACGACGCTGCAAATAAAGGACAGACACTTAGAACACTTTTAAGTGTCCGTGCTTTCTGTTTTTGCCTCATTTTTAATTGTTTTATGTGACATGGAGAGGGGTCATTGTTTCATGGAGGCTTCTTCTCGAAGCAGGAAATGTTCACGATGGAACTTATCTCGTCACTGCACCCAGTGATATAAAAACAGAAACAAAAGAAAAAAAAAGGAGAGAATTAGATGAAGTTGTGTGTAAAAATTAAAGTAAATTCCTAAATATTACACACTGTAACGTTGTTCGATGAAAAGGCGTTCGAGGAAACGGCTTCTTTGAAACGGCGTTCGAGGAAACGGCGTTCGATGAAACGGTGTTCGACGAAACGGCTTCGATGAAACGGCTTTGATGAAACGGCGTTCGATGAAATGGCGTTCGATGAAATGTACGGACGCACTTATAGCGGTACGCGTGCATTACGTGGCACTTTTAGCCCGAACGCGACATCGGCGCTATTTACTATTTCTGCCCAGCAACATGTATTGTCTAGCACTGAGCTCTGCCACTTAGGTCGGATAGTTGCATTGACAGTTTTCTAAACATAATTTATTTCTAAAAAACAAAATTAGAAAGACCGGCAATAGTTTGTCCGTGCTGTGTGGCAGTATACCTAAAATGTGTTTGCAAAGACAAATTACAAACGCGTATCATGTTAAAAAAAATCGGCTACATTAGATTTATTTATTTTTTTATTTTTAATGCCTCAATAATACTTTAAAGTGGCAGCACGTTCTATAGCACCGATTTAAGCAACTTTGAACTATAACACCAGACGCTTCGATAACTGCACTCGATCAAGAATGCTCACAGAAAGGTTATAGCTTATATATTGTCGTAGGGTGCGGTTATCCAAGAGCTAAAGACGATCCACTAAAACTTTTTAGTATCGACACACCATTGCTGTCTTCTCACCTCATGTGGTTGCTGGGATGCGTAAATATAAATGTCACATACATTCGTTGGCCATCATATTGTGTAAGTTACGCACATAATATTTGTGCTCGTTGCTAGAAAACAAAGACCTTCTAAAAGATGCCCGTGCCTGGTACATCGCTTTCTTTTCCATCAATCTTAATTTGAGGCAGTTTTGAGCGCGATAAGCCGTTTTTTTAAGATGGAATGTTTTGTAAAGATGTAAGTCATCCTTACATATTCAAGTCACCACTTCTCGCGCATGTCTTTTGAGCTCCTTGATCAACCGAGAATATCTATGAAACGTTCCTTCAACGGGTGCGGGGATGCATCGCAGCTCTCAAGTATGTGTTTATTTTGCCACGGGCAAAACCAAAGACCTTCGACAGCTGAAATTCGGTGAGTGCGCGGGCGCAGCCTTGCAGCTCCGCAAAAACCTACACCCGAGGGGCTAGGCTTGGTGAGCGCCGAAAAATGGGGCAGATTACGCGATAGGATCTGAAGCTACCTGTAAGTCACGAGGTCGCTGCTGCCGCACCCATCGCTCGTCACTCAGCATGGAGATTTTCTCGGCTTATCCTCTCAGAAGAAGCTGGCGCAAAAGGGGACCTTTCCCCTCGCCTCGCCGTGCTACAATACACGAAAGAAAGAGGGCGAGGAGGAATTTCCGCCAGGCGGAAGAATATTTCTGCTGGTCCGCCTTTAAGGTTTACCGGTATCCTTCCAATTGGAGTCAATCAGAACTCGACGTTCTGACGTCACCGCAATCCATGCTCAAGAAGCAGACAAACTTGCGCTCCGCATAGAGCCCAGCTATACCTAATCGAGGGGGTTTATAAATATTCTTGCTATATACAAATATATTTTCTTCAATCATGTATGACTAACACAGGTGTCAGGTCATTTCTGCTTAACATTATTATGCATGCCAGTTTAGTTCTTAAAAGCTTACTGCAATGTAGATACAAACCCCATTCATGAACTTTCCGTTTCATTTGAAATATATGAGGCACACACGTGACCGATCCCACTTTAAAAATGAGCTTTTCGCCTAAGCACACAGCTGCAATACTTCAAGTGTTGATCACAGAGGGTTTGCCCCGTTGAGTGCGCTTCTTGCCTTACCAAGCACCGGTGCACTGCAGGGAAGCCACACTCAGAAAAGCGAGCTCCGCAGGTCCTGAATCTTTGCAGTGCACTGGGGCCTAGTAAGAAGCGCACTCAACACGGTGAACCTGCCACAATCAACATATGTGTTAACGAGTCAGAAGCTGTGGATATGTCCACAGAGTTACCAATCACAGGGTGTCAAAACTGCGAAAGACAAGAGAAGCTTGAGGGTTGCGGGGTTCCTCACCTGAAGTCCATTCAGGGCCATTGAAACCGACGAGGACAGCTTGAAACAGGAAGGGTCCCAGGCAACCGGGACCCTGCATGATCCAACGAGACATTGCTCCAGAGCTCCTAAAACCTCTCAGAGTTGTAAGTTGCAAAACAAACATGGATTGGACAGCCCCACACCATAGCTTTCTGCTATGGTCTCCGACAGCCAAAAAAACACAGGGCGTGGATTATTATGTCCACGCCTCTTGTTTTGGGATTGGATGTTCGGCACTCGTATCGGCTAACACTGCAATCTCATTGGATATGGAGAGGTAATGAGATGCTCGGGGCTCGCCATGCCCTACGTTTCTTAAGCCGGTAGTGAGGGTTTACAATACAGATGGTGGTCTCCTCTGGCTAACCTCCTAGCATTTCTTTGTTAAAAATAAACGCACAAACAAATTATTCATCTTATCGGCAAAAGTATCGGAAAGCTAACCCGCCTGGGTAAAGAGGGGCACTAGCCAATCACAAATGAGGCAATATGTTTTCCACAGTTGCACTAAGGATATGTTTTATCATGTGAATAATAATAAAAAAAAACCAAGACCTAACTCCATGTGAAAAAAACTGTAAAAAAATATATTTAAGAAAGGGCAGCTAAGTTCATCGGCTGATAGCTCACAGCCCAGGGCAGTATCAATCAATCAATCAATCAATCAATCAATTTATTTCCTCTCCATCTGAGAGAAGAAAGCAGGGAAAAAAGCAGCATGTCGCTACTTGACGAAGCCCCCGCCTCCCCTTTACATCCGCAGAAGAAACACAACATATGAGTGAAAGAACAATGTAACATATACAAAAACAGATAATCTAGCGCTTACACAGGACAGTGGTGGCAATTATATACAGTGCGAAGGGTTAAACAAGGTAAACATAATTCAGAGTAGCACACGCTTGCTCCAAGAGTTTAGAGATGAGCACATGCACTACAATGCACATTGACTTTGAAAAATATATACGCAACTGCCTCTGCACCTTCAAAACATGACAACACCTATTCAATAGATCACTCAAATAGGTCACGAATTTCCTTTTTGCTTGTGTTGGCCACGGAAATTCCCTTTGCTTCAAGGTTGTTTAAAATTCTTGGGAGAGTAAAAGCCAGTCTCTGGTCACCATAAGTAGTTCTGGAGCGCGGTGCGGCCCAGTTTCGAGAATGACGAGTGCTGTATGTTGCGTCTCGCGACTCCAAACCTGAGACTGAATTAAAAACGCTAATAGGGTTGTTTAATGATCTTTTATATGACATCAAAAGCTTGTAACTATAGTAATTGGTGATTTTTAACGTGTCAAGCTTTTTAAACAAAGATTTTGTGGAGTGATCATACGCTACATTACATATTATTCATATTGCCCTCTTTTGCATTATAAAAAGTCTCTGAACGTTCGTTTTCGTAGTGGTAACCCAAACCAGGAAACAATAATCGAAATATGAGCAGAACAGGGCGTGATATATAAGCAGCATTATCGAGGGGGGTAAGATAGTATGGTATTTATATAAAACGCCTACAACCTTCGAGAGCTTTATGGTTGTGTCCTGCACCGTCTCATCCCACAGCATATGTTCATTAAAAGTTACGCCAAGCACCTTAGCATTTTTTACAATTTCCACATCTCGTGAGGCAAAAGGGAGCCCTCCCGGCAGGCTGCTGGTGCAGCTTGTATTTTTTGCGCGGAAAATAATTGCCTTAGTTTTTGCAACATTTATTGTTAATGAATTTGCGGTGGTCCAAACGTTCAGACTCTGCAAGAATTGATTTGCTTTTCTTATAATGACGTCAATGCTAGTTCCAGAGAAAAACAAACTTGTATCATCTGCGTATATTATGAAGTTGACGCTATTATCTAAGTTCACTATGTCATTTATAAAAAGATTGAAGAGAAGGGGCCCGAGAATACTCCCTTGCGGTACACCTGCCTTTATTTGGCGCATGTTTGAACGCTCCCCGTCAATTTCAACGTACTGATACCGGTCTTGCAAATAGCTTTCGATTAGGTTCAGGGCAACACCCCTGATGCCACAAAGGTCCAGTTTCTGCAGTAAAGTTTTATGATTAAGGCGATCGAATGCCTTAGAAAAATCGATAAATATGCCTAATGTTAGCAGTTTGTTTTCAATGTTTGTAAGTATCATTTCTTTCTGTTTTAGTAGCGCCAACTCTGTCGAGTACCCCTTTCGGAAACCGAACTGACAAGGGGTAATAATTGAGTGTTTTTCACAGAAAGCATATAGTCTCATGTGCATAATTTTTTCTAGTCCTTTGGAGAATACCGGCAATACAGACACAGGCCTGTAATTACCCACGTTGTTCTTATCCCCTGCCTTGTGGAGGACGGACACCTTGGCCACTTGCATTCTTTTAGGAAACACCCCATCCTGAAGGGCGAGGTTATAAATGTGGGTCAAACAAGGGGCGATAGAATGAATTACACGCTTTACAGGCCCGATCTGAATGCCATGCATGTCGTTACTTTTACTGTTTCTAAAATTGTTATATACTGATATTGATTCACTGTCGTCAGTAGGCAGAAGAAAAACACTCTCCAAAGTCTTATCGACTAGGTCACAAGCATTGACGGAGTGAACGCTATCAACTCGCTATCGCTATCGCTATCAATATTAATATGAGCCTCTGAAAGGAACGTTTCCAGCCCACAATCACCCGAAAATGAGAGCACGGATGTGACCCGTCACGTTTCTTAAAACATGTATTTTCTGATCGTCACGATGTCAAATAAAGATTTGTGCTGAAAACTAAAAAACAAAACATGCTCAGAATTTATGACACTGGAAACATCCGATGGGGGATGATTGAGCTCTGACAACCCTCACAATTAGGTAAGGCTCCAAGAAGGGCACCAAGCACAACAATCGGTTGCTATATAAGCCTCAGAAATATATGGTTTATATTTTACAATTTTCAGTAGGCACATCAGGTATTGGTAGCTGTCTGCACATTTCAGCATCTGTCATGCCAAGGATAAAATAAAATAAATTAGATGTAGAACAAAACTGTTTAAACATTCCTTTTTTCCAAAGAGCATTCATGAGTGGAATGCCCTTCCTGAACTTGTGGTGGCAGAAACCTCAGATGCCAGCTTCTCTTCTCTCCTATTGGATCTATAAAACTCCCTCAGTGTGCAATATCCTGTATTGTTTTATTAGTTATAATTGTATTGTGTTTTCCTTTAGGTTATTACTTTGTAATGTGCTCGCTGATTGTATTCCTTTTTTCTTGCAGCAGATCTTAGATATTTTTTTTTGTCTTTGTTTGCACCTTTTTGTGTATTGGTGCTCTCAAGCACTATGTTTTACTTGCGTTTAACAAGTGTGATGCAACCATCTTTTATGTATTTTAACCCCCCTACTGTAATGCCACCTGGGCAATGTAGGTACTGTATGAATAAAATAAATAAATTCTTAACAGAGTGAAACTTGAGACCTTAATATATGACAATGTGATTACAGTAAGAGTAGCTTGGAGAGGTAATAAAGCAAGCCATGTGTTACGATTCCTTCTTCAAGTTGCACCCTTTTTCTTCAAACATTCTTTTTTCTCTTCTCGCTGCATTTCCTTGGGCAGGCAGACGTCAATGAGTGTGGACTCACTTGGGGCCAACATTCCCAAAGTTGCTTCCCAAGGCGAGTGCCAGGGCTGTTGCCAGGTGGCCCAGAAGACTGCAGAGCCCTGAGTAGGTTCAAAATTGCCAGAACTATGTTAAACAAACTTTGACAACAGAAACTCATAATTATTAGAAGACAGGTCAGCATTCTATTTTTCAGCAATAACTCAGAGTAGTGCAGTTGACTTATAATAGGAACCAAAAAAGGTTGACCTGTAAAAGTGAAGTTATATTTCCGAGCCCATCAGGCTCACAATTCCCCGCGTCAGCCGCTGCTCCTGGAGCGTAAGTGCAAAGCGGTGAAATTCAACAGTGTGAAGGAGCAAAGTTTTGATGTGAGCAGCACAACGCAAACGCTACGGCATGGAGGCCCGTTGTTAATACGATAGTCCCGTGGTCTTAACAGGAGTTGAAGATACTGACTCTGTTTCATCACAGCAGCTGCCATCCCATGATTCTGTGAAGCGTCTCCTCGCAACCTTTTAGCTCGCTGCTCACGACACTGCTGACATTGCGGCAATGGCAGCGTCACTGCTTGGAAGTTTAGATGATGACATAACCAGTGCGGTTCACAAGAAGTGAGTTTTAACAAGGGGGACTATTCTTACAGGTCGTTTTAGTCATTGTTTCACCCAACCCCAGTTACCTAATAGTTCTCCCTTTCATCCCGCTTCTTTTTCCTCTTCTTTCCCTAGTCCCCTTAGTAGTATATGCTTTGGCTTGTCCGGCTTCAATTACCATCTCTCACTGCAGTGGCCCGCACTGCCATGAATAAAAAATTACTTTTGTTTTGTTATGTTTACTTTTCGTTCGGAGTGCGAGAATCATGCAGCATGCTCACGCTCTGCTGAGCGCGTGATTAAAGAGTTTGATTCCCGATGCTGTAGTGGTCTGATGTTCCTACAAAGCTGGTGACCAGAATTCGAACAGTGTCGCTCACACACTGCGGACGCCGGCTCCATCGCAAGCATAGACGCGGCAACACTTCATCAGAAGGTAATGCGACAGCAGCCTCCAGTTATGCTCTCGCCACAATCGAGCTATGACTTCCAGCATTCTGGCTCAAAAACCTGCAAGTCTGGTTCATGCAGGTCGAGCTCCGTTTCCATCTGAGGCAGATCACTTCACAACTGACGCGCTATTACACCGTCGTCGCATCTCTACCTGAAGAGATCGCAGACCAACTAGACTATGTGTTGCCTTCGCCACCATCTGAAGACTCTTATGACCAGCTGAAAGCAGTGCTGCTAACCAGGATGACTCTATCAGAGAGGTCCTGCATCTAACAGCTCCTAACCGCCGAAGAGCTCGGGGACCGTCATTTGATGCAGCTTCTGCACCGCACGAAGCAGTTACTAGGAACGCAAAAGCTTTCAAAATGCTGATTTCCATCCTGCGCGAGCTCTTTCTTCAGAAGCTCCCGCAAGGCATGCGGACGATGCTGGCCGCGGCGGATGACATGTCCCTTGACCACCTAGCCGAGCTTGCTGACCGCACTCAGGACCGGATTAAGGAATTTTGGGGCCCTGGGCTAAGGCTGTTTATAAGGCATTTATGATGATAATACTGACTATGATGACGATGGTGGTGAAGGACGTAACGACAATGACGGCGAGGTGTATTTCACCACCTTATGAAATACACATATTGTTCATTTTACGATGCATACTGAAAGGTTTCTGTATCAGTAGATTTGATGACTAGCAAATTAATGTTTCACTGGGTAGAAATAAAGCAGATGCCATTGTGGATGAGAGGCTGTTTAGGAAACAGTTAATCGCACACTAAGAGGTGCAAAACGCAAAGCAATGAACGATTGGGGATAATGTTAAGAAGCGCCGGGCACATTGAACACCTCCATAGGGTCTTGTAAACTTTCGTTGAAAAGTTGAAAATGATGACTCCACTTTCCTTTAGCCTGTTTGATCAGGTCTACAATGTTATTTATATGGTACGTGTCGCTTTTTGCTAGCATAAATTCATCATACTGTTGAGTAAAGTATAAACAGCATGCAAGCGATTTGGCGAGCGATGAGACAAGCGACGGCAACCAGCTTCGCTGTCGCTCGGTCAGTCACGCGACAGAGCAAACCGCATGAAAGTGATGGGAGCAAGCGACCAAGGCGATAAGCTACGTTTTCTAAAAATTCAAGAACCAAGCGACGCGAAAAGCGATAGTGAGAAATCTCCATTGCTCGTCGCTGACTCTTGTCGCTGTCGCCGTTGCTCGTCTCGTCATTCGCTAAATCGCTTACATGCGGTTCAGCCTTTAGAGAGATGGCGCAGTTGACCCTCTTGATGTCAAGTGGCGTAATTACTTGAGCACAAACTGCATTAGATAGTAACTAAAAGGATACCTGAAGAAATTCCCATTACAAGAAAGAAAAAATCAATATCGCTGCCCCTAAAGACATGTCTCGCGAGTCACAACTCGAAAACTGTCCCGAGAATATAGTGTTTTTATTCTAGTAATTGCTTCGATTGATTGGAACTTGCCTAACTAGTCCTTTCTTAATTAATTACTGACTTGAGCAGCAAAACAGCACAGACAACAAAGTAATTTTGGTGATTAAGGGGACACACCCCTGGGAGGGTCAACTTCTGAACCCTTGGGTTAAAATTAATTAAATTTTATAGGGTAGGCTGGAGGTCATTCTAGAGGGTGCAAAACAAAATTTCAGTTCTGTCAGTTAAATGGGAAGGAAATTAGAGCAGCTTCTATCAGCAACACGCCTACATTGTTTAGTTAATCTATCGTCAGAAAACTATCATAATATTTACAATTTTTATTCGCTAGATATGTAGCAGAATGCCTAGGGGGTGCGGTTATGGAAGGTTTTTTTGTAAAAAGTCATTTATTTCTATAAATTTTCTCTTCTGAAAAATTGGTCAACTTTTTGGTCTTCTGTGTCTTCGACAAATTGTCAACAATTTTTATAAAAGACATCTATAAAGTGACAAAAATCATCCATAGCCGTATTCCTTATTAAATTTCAGCCAGGAGAAGTGAAGAACGAGCCTCCCTGTAGTGCCATTAACAAATGATAGATTGACTAAAATAGAATTTATCCTAAGAAGTGGAACGGAGAAAAATGTGTCTAAAATGCTCCAAACTTTACCTTTTCTTTAGCTTTGGTGGACAAAAAATAATTTATAAAAAATTACTATGCAGTGGGAACTAATTAAACTTTCTGGTAATACTTTCTAGATGTTGGTGGATGTAATTATGTCATTTTCAAACTTTTTTTGCAGGACTTTTTTTTCTGGGTTGTGTCCCTCTTTAAAGTATTCAGGCATCAAACCACTTTGACCACCCTCTTCTAATAACTGAACTCTCGAGTTCCAAACCAAGAGACTTCTGCATTCAAATAATACAATTAATGATTGAGACTGAATGCAAAAGTAATACAGCAACCACTGTCATTTGGCCACATTGACAGGCATTTTTCATGAAGATTAATTAAGGATATATTTTCAAATTTCTCTCCTACATGCTGTCTATCTTGAGGGGATGTTTCAATTAGTTTTAGAAGTGGTCTTGTTTCTTCTAATTGCATCAATTTAGAACTTCACAGCCATTTGGACGTTTTACTCGAAGCTAAGAATAATAGGTCATAGCTCAGAGGCTCGTAAAAAATTGCAGCGATCATATCACTCGATGGTAAGAAAAGTGTTGTCTCACACTGGCAGATCAGACAGCTCCAAGGTAGTTGCTTGTGGTCAGTGCCTCTCGAAAACTTTCTGGGGCATATCTCAAACGTCGGCTTCTTGAAACGCCTGTTACTGGTTGGAAAAGGAGGGTTCGGGAGGTTCACCGATATTTCTTTTTGCTTGTTTTACGCTCGTCATTTTGGAGGAAAAAAAAAATGTATAGCATGTATGTTGCTCATGTAGCCTTCGGCAACACTTGCTTGCCTTCCAACCCACCACTGTCTGTAAAATGCGTCGAGGGGATCCCAGCACAATAGAGAACTCTGCGGCCATCTTTCTGTCCGGCTTCAATCAGAAGAGACTTCGAAGGGGCAAGGAGGGTGGGAGGCAATGCTTACATTTTGTTGCTCTAGCACAGTCTTTTAGAACGAGCTCACATACACCAGCTCGTCTCGAGAAGGGAACTTTATAGCATCCCTGTTTCCCCATTGAAAAAAAAGCCAGGACCCAGAGGCTTCTCCAAGTTTTGCTCCTCTTTGAGGTCTGAGCTGTTCTGAACTGAAACCGACTAGCTTATTTTCAAATTTCCAGGGGCCAGCACAGGGCCCCCTGGCAGCCTGGGGCCCTGGGATGCAGCCCCCTTAGCCCTTAGCTTAATCTGGCCCTGACCGCAACGTGGAATATTCATCGCCGAATGTAAGTGCCGTCAAAGTATCGGGCCCTACGTCTTGGGAAGCACGAGCGTCAAGCATCGAGGCCCAACTTGATCGCCTCACAAGTGCCATCGCCACCATGGGTCAAGCCCAGCCAAGATCAATGTGATCATTGCGATGAAGTCAATCCCGTTGCAGGTCTGCATCACGGCGAGCTTCGCATTCTCTTACCATTGCCTATTCGGTGAGAGAGCTACGAAGTGCAAACAACCCTGCACGTGGTTGGGAAATGCCGAGGCCCAGCACTAGCAGCGGCAGGTGATCAAGACCAGACAATCCGCTTGTTTTATGTTGTCGATCGGATTGCAGGGCATAGTTTGCTTATTGAAACTGGAGCTGAGGTTAGCATCTTAGCAGCATTACGCACTGACCGCCTCCCAGCAGCAGGACTCCTCACCTTCCCTGCGTGCCGTCAACAGCTCTCCGATTGCCACCTATAGGCAACAATCCCTTGTTATTGACATCGGACTGCGACAAATATTTCAATAGGTCTTTATCGTAGTCGACTTGCGACTGCCCATTTCGGGAGCAGACTTTCTCTCTCATTTTAATTTGTCCGTGAACCTCCAGGCATGACGACTCAACGATGTAAGAACATCATTACCGGTTCAAGGCATCCTTTCGAACTTCACGATGTCTCCGTTGTGACCGCTTCCAGCCACATCGCGCTACCAGGCCGCTCTCACGAAATATTCAGCGCT